TCATCAAAGATATTGGCCTATAGTTTTCTTTTTTTCTTGTGTCTTTATCTGGTTTTGGTATCAGGGTGATGTTTACTTCATAGAATGAGTTTGGGAGAATTGCCTCTGTTTCAATCTTTTGGAATAGTTTGTAGCGAATTGGTGTCAAGTCCTCTTTGAATGTTTGATAGAATTCTGCTGTGAATCCATCTGGTCCTGAGCTTTTCTTTGTTGGGAGCCTTCTGATAATAGCTTCAATCTCTTTTATGGTCATTGGTCTGTTCAGATTTTCCACATCACCTTGGCTCAGTTTTGGGAGCTTGTGTGTGTCCAGAAATTTATCCATTTCCTCCAGACTTTCAAATTTGTTGGCATATAGTTGTTTATTGTAGTCACTAATGATTTCTTGTATTTCTGAGGTATCATTTGTAATATCACCTTTTTCATTCCTAATTCTTGTTATTTGGGTCTTCTCCTTTTTTTAGTTAGTCGTGCTAATGGTTTGTCAATTTTATTTATCTTTTCAAAAAACCAACTTTTTGATTCATTGATCTTTTGTATCATTTTTTTGTTTCAATTTCATTAAGTTCTGCTCTGATCTTGATGATTTCTTTCCATCTGCTAGCTTTGGGTTTTGATTGTTCTTGTTTTTCTAGTTCTTTAAGGTGAAGTATTAGGTTCTTTACTTGCCATCTTTCCATTCTTCTGAAGTAAGCATTTAATGCAATAAATTATCCCCTTAGTACTGCTTTGGCAGTATCCCTTAGGTGTTGGTATGATGTATCATTATTTTCATTAGTTTCAATAAGTTTTTTGATTTCCTGATTGATTTCTTCTTGGACCCATATGTCATTAAGTAGAATGCTGTTTAATTTCCATGTGTCTGTATAGTTTCCAGATATTCATTTGTTATTGAATTCTAATTTTAATCCATTGTGATCTAATAAAATACATGGGATAATTCCGATTTCTTTGAATTTGTTGAGACTTGATTTGTGACCTAACATGTGATCTATCCTGGAGAATGATCCATGTGCTGATGAGAAGAATTAGTATTCTGAGGTTGTTGGATGGAATGTTTTGTAGATATCTGCCAAGTCCAATTGATCTAGAGTGTTGTTTAGATCTTGTGTTTCTCTGCTGATTCTTTGCCTAGATGATCTGTCCAATATGCACAGTGAGGTGTTCAGGTCCCCTGCTATTATGGTATTAGAGTCTATCTCCTTCTTTAGGTCTAATAGAGTTTGCTTTATAAATCTGCCTCCTCTGACATTGGGTGCATATATATTTATGATTGTTATGTCTTCTTGATGGATGAGTCATTTTATCATTATGTAGTATCCCTCTTTATCTCTTTTTATGGTTTTTAGTTTAAAGTCTATTTTGTCAGATATAAGAATAGCTACTCCAGCTTGTTTTTCATTTCTATTTGCATGGTATTTCTTTTTGCATCCTTTCACAATTAGTCTATATGTGTCTTTATACGTGAGATGAGTCTCTTGAAGGCAGCATATAATTGGGTTCTCCTTTTTAATCCAGTCAGTTAGTCTGTGTCTTTTGATTGGGGAATTTAAGCGTTTGACATTAAGAGTTGTTATTGAAAAGTATTGATTTACTGCTAGTATTCTATTGATTTTAGTTTGGATGTCTTAAGTGTCTTTTGTTCCTTTCTTTCTGATTTACTGTTTGTCTTCTGTATTTGTTGGTTTCTTGGGTTGTAGATAAACTTTTTTCTTTTTCTCTTCATTGTTGCCATTTTTATTTTACTAGTGGGTTTTGATTTTTCTTGAGTTTTTATGGCAGTGGTGGTTATTTTTCAGGTACCAAACCTAGTGCTCCCTTTAGAATTTCTTCTAAGGGTGGTCGTGTGGTAGTGAACTCCCACAGTTTTTGTTTGTCTGAGAAATATACTATTTGCCCTTCATTTCAGAAGGATAGCCTTGTGGGGTAAAGTATTCTTGGGTGGCAGTCTCTGTCTTTATTATTTTGAATATATCATCCCATTCCTTTCTGCATTTAGGGTTTGTGATGAAAAGTCTGAGGTTAGTATGATTGGGGCTCCCTTATAGGTGACTTGATGCTTCTCTCTTGAAGCTTTTAAGAGTCTCTCTTTGTCTTTGAGTTTTGCCAATTTGACTATAATATGTCTTAGAGAAGACCTTTTTGGGTTGAATACATTTGGGGATTTTGAGCTTCCTGAATCTGAAGATCTGTGTCTTTTCCTATACCTAGGAAGTTTTCTGCCACTATTTTTTTGAATATGTTTTCAATGCAATCTCCTTTTTCCTCCCCTTCTGGAATACCCAGGATTTGGATATTTGAGTGCTTAAGGTTGTCTGATATCTCTCTTATATTTTGTCCAATGTTTTAAATTCTTTTTTCTTTTTTTTTTGTCTGCCTGTGTTATTTCAAACATCCCATCTTCAAGGTCAGAAGTTATATCTTCTGCTTCTGCAAGCCTGCTGGTTAAACTCCTCACTGTTGTGTTTTTTATTTTGTTGAATGAATTCTTCATCTCAGCCAACTCTGCTACATTCTTTTTTAGGGCATTGACTTTCTTGTACATTTCTTCTTTCAGGTCCTGTATACTTTTCCTCATTTCATCATGTTGTCTAGCTGAGTTTTCTTGTATCTCATTTAGTTTCCTTAGAATTATCACTCAAAATTCCTTGTCAGACATTTCAAGGGCTTCTTGTTCTATAGGATCTAGAGCTTGAGACTTATTACCCTTCAGTGGTGTACTTCCTTGATTTTTCATATTTCTGGTATCTTTCCTTTGGTATTTAGTCATTGTGGCAAGGGATTTCACAGTCCACTATTGTCTGGCTAGGATCCTGCTGGGACTGCCAATTTGACATGGCTGCCTCATTGCCTGTGGGCAGAAGGTTTGGGCCTCTCTGGTTGGTGCCTACTTGCCTGGGCTGGGGATGGGGTCCAGTGGCGGCAAGGCCTACCTGCTCGGTTGCACTGGCACCTCGAGGCGCGTGGTGGCGGTGGGTCTCGGGCCTCTCTGGGGGGTGCTGCTCTGGTTGGCGCGCACTTGCCTGGGCTGGGGATGGGATCCGGCAGTGGCAAGGCCTGCCTGCTCGGTTGAGTTATATTCTTTAATGTAGTCACATTTCTTTTTCTGCAGAATTTTCTTTTCTAGGCACCATTCCCTGTGCAAGGATGATATCTTGGAGCTGGGGGTCAGGGTAGTCTGGTGGCAGCCGATTGCTTCCTTGAGAGTTTCTGAGAAGTGCATGGATCTTCATGGACTTTTGTTGTCTTCTCCTTTCTTGTTCTTTTTAAAATATACTTTTTATAGAATAGTTATTACTTTTTAAATAATTTATATTCTGTTGTCTTTGTGATTAATAATGTAACATGAGCATTTTTTCATGTTATTTTATATTTTTAAAATGCAGTTTTTAATAACTATGCAATATTTCAAGTGAATGTGTCATAATTTATTTTATCATTTTTTCCTATTTTAGACATATAGGTGGTTTTTAATCCCCCTCTTTTTAATCTATTATTCATAATTTTATGATGAACACAATTGTTTATGAATATTTTTTATATTTAGTGTTATTTGTTTAGAGAAAAATTCTAGTTTAATTAATGACATGAACATTTTAAAGTTTTTATATATATACTACTAAATTATTTTCCAGTTTTGTCCTACTCAGAGGAGATGAAAATGCTTATTATCCTCTTATTTTTTGGATAGGAGGGCATTTTATTAATGTTTTAACTTTCACTTTCTTTAAAATGACATTATAAAGTAATACATTAGAAAAATGGGAAAACATAGAAAAGCATAAAAAAAACATGAAAATGACCTGTGATCCTCATGTATTAATTTACTAGAGATGCTGAAACAAAGTACCACAAGCTGACTGGCTTAAATAACAGAAATTTATTGTCTCACTGCTCTGGAGGTTAGAAGTCCAAAATCAAGGTGTCAGTAGGGTTGGTTCTTCTTGAGGGCTGTGAGGGAAAATCAGTTCCAGGTCTCTTTCGTTGACATGTAGATGACAATCTTCCCTTCACATTGTCTTTCTTCTGTGTGTGTGTCATATCTCTGTGCCCAAATTTTCCCCTTTTTAAGGATGCCATTCTTATTACATTAGAGCCCACCTAATGACACTACTTTAACTTGACTACCTCTGTTAAAGACCCTGTTTTCAGGGCCGGCCCCGTGGCGCACTGGATAGTGTGCCGCTTGGGAAGCGCGGCGGTACTCCCGCCTGAGGGTTCGGATCCCACATGCAGACCGGTTCCCGCTCACTGGCTGAGCGAGGCGCGGGAGCAACACCGAGGGTTGCGATCCCGTTGCCGGTCCCCGAAAAAGACAAAAGACAAAAAAAAAAAAAAAAAAAGACCCTGTTTTCAAATAAGGTCAGGCTGGCCCGTGGCTCACTCGGGAGAGTGTGGTGCTGATAACACCAAGGCCACGGGTTTGGATCCCATATAGGGATGGCCGGTTAGCTCACTTGGGAGAGTGTGTTGCTGACAACACCAAGTCAAGGGTTAAGATCCCCTTACTGGTCATCTTAAAAAAAAAAAAAAAGATCACATTCTTAGGGGATGAGGGTTAGGACTTCAACATATGAATTTTGGGGGGCACAGTTGAACCCGTAACACCTCGCTACCCAGATGTATCCATTGTTGAAAGTCTGATGTATTTTCATCATTCTTTTCTCAATGCTTATTTCAATGCACTCTTCAATAATCTTGTAATATTTTGGTAGCAACAACACGTCTTGCTTATGCTGAAATTTTCTGGTAATTAAGTTATTTCTGTTTTCCTTAAGGTATTCTTCTTTTCTTTGGTGTGTTAGGTTAATTAAAGTATGTATTTGGGGACAAGAAAAAAGTTAATGTATCAGTTTTATATGTCTCTAAAGGAAAATTAAAATGGTGTTAAAAATCATGAACTTATACATGTATGTCTAATTATTTTGCTAGGAATAACAATAACAGTACCATATTGCCAGCAAAATAAATTGAAAAATAAATTTGCTGTTCATTTCTAGGTTCATAGTTTAAAGTCCAGAAGAATGAAATTGATTAGTGGGTTTGAGCAGATGGTAAAAGAAGGAGGAATTCTTTCTCTTTGGAGAGGAAATGGTGTAAATGTTTTAAAAATTGCACCAGAGACGGCACTCAAGATCGGAGCCTATGAACAGGTAAAATTGTGTGTGTAAAATTCACTTTGGGATGAGATATATTTGTTTTCAAATAGTATAAGTTATTAGTATCACATGAGAGTCCAGGAGTGCTCTGTGTACTTCTCAAGTTTTCCATCTTCACTGTAATTCTCGTAGCAATTCTCTTTTCTTTAAACACTTTTATAGAATATAGAATTAAAGTATTTCTTTTGTATGACTTGTTCAGAAGTTCACAGGACCTCAAAATTTTAAGAAAATATAAAATATTGAGAATATCCTTTCTCAACTCAAGCAGTTGAAATGCAAGTATATAGATGTTTAGGACAATGGACTTAGTTGTAATGCACATCTTAAAAATATACATCTTTTACTTAAACTCATTCAACAAATATTTCTTTCATCAACAAATGTTTCTTGAGTACCTAATGTGTTCTAGACATTTTTCTAGGATATGGAGATGTCACAGCAAGTAAAACAGGAAAAAAAAAAACTCAACTAATCAACCAACAAACCCCACCCCCCACCTGCCTTGATAGAATTTATATTAGAATATAAGTTGGAGGAGACAATAAACAAACAAAATATATCATATGTCAGATGGTGACAATTGCTATGGAGAAAACAGAGGATAGAAATTGGAGATAGACGTTAACAACTTCTCAGTGAGTTTTATTGTGAAGAGGAGTAGGGAATTGGAGTGGTAACTGGAGGGGGCATGGGATCAAGAGAGTGTTTTTGTTGAAATGGAAGAAGCAATGTTTGTATGCTTTAGGGAATGGTTCAGTAGAGAGGGGACCATTGATGATACAGGAAAGAGAGGGAATATTGATAGGGGATTGTCCTTGAATCTTTGAGTAGGTGAAAGGAGATAGGAACTAGTGCTCATGGGCGGGTTTGGCCTTGGCTAAGTACTTCATCCACAGTTACAGGAGAAGTGCTACCACATGAGCACAGAGGCAGGCAGCCTGTGGAAATTTTCTTCATAGTGCTTCAATTTATCCAGTGAAATGGGAAGCAAGGACATGTTAGTGTTTTGAGGTAAGAGAGGAAGGTGTGCAATAGTCTTCTAGGAAACTGAGAAAACAACTGGATTGAGGAAATTAAATAAGACTGCTGGCAGCAAAAGTCTAGGTGAAGTTAGTAGTTATGAATTTAAAGTGATATTAGGCAGTATGTAGATCTATACAATCTTATTTTCAATAGGTTTTGAATTTTGTTAGTTCATAGATTGAGATATTTATTATATGTCAACCATGTGCTAGGTGTGGGGATACATGAATGAACAAGATAGATACTGCCTGTCTGCCCTTCTAGACCTTACATTCTATCACAACTTGATGATGAAATTTAAGGAGGGTTAATCTAAATGAAAATATTAATTTAGGGGGAAATACTATGTTGCAAAAGCATAAAAGAGGCATGGCAATTGGTGTATTTATGATTGTTACCAGGAGTATGAGTATATATGTTATAATTTGTGAGATCAAGAACAAAGGGGAAAAAAAAAGTCTTGGATCCTAAATCATCAATGTGCCATCCTTACTATATATAGCAATATACATATGGCATAGAGGACACTCCAAGTAAATGCACTGTTTATTACTAACTAGGACTTTGGCTTTAAATTTTTTTCTCATCTGCAGCCCTGGTTAGCTGGAGTGGATCACAAATAAGCAACAAAGAATATTCTTTTCTCTATTTAGTACAAGACTCGACGAGAGACAGACTTAAGTAGTCTATTTCATACTTCTGCTCCCTTAGGCCCCATTCTGGTTCCTGCTAGTCCTTCCAACAGCACATCACCTCATGGGGGAAAAGAGAATGAAAGGATTGCCACACGAGATGTGAAAAACAGTTGTTTTTCCCGCCCAATTTTAGATATAATCTGGTTTGTTTTCTCACTGTCTAGAAGCTCTGCCTTCTCTGGTTAGCCCTCCTTGTTTTTCCCCAGATTTGTCTTGAGGACCCCATCTTTTTCCTTAACTCATAGCAGAACACCTTATCACAGGAGGGGTGCTGTGAGGGGTAGGGCAAAATGAGTTGTAATATTTCCCTAGGGAACTTATTTTACTTCTTGGATCTTATGTAAAGTCCTTGTCTCAGCATCAAAACCTTCCATAGTTTATTCCTATTTAATATGTCCAGTACTCCTACTGCTTGACAGTAATCATATACTACTTCAATTAAGAGAGTCTTCTCATTACACTTTCACAAATTATGCTTTTTCTGTCTCCTTAATTTTGTTCATATTTTCTCTCACTGGAATACCCTTTTTTTCCTTCTCACATATCTAAATTCTTTCAAGAACCGAGGTCTTTCCTTTCCCTGAGAAGTAACCTACTTAGATGTCTCCTCTTTCTTACCTGGTATATTTATTGCTTGTACCGCTTATGTAAGTTAGAATTAGGTTTAGATGTATGTGAGAGAAAACCACAGACAATAGTGGCCTAAATAAGATAGAAGTTTATTTCTTTTTCATAAACAGACGTCTGAGAATAGGCAGTTTAAGGTTGGTATGAAAGTGCTATGAAGGTGAAAAAAAATTCATTCCCTTCCAGTTCACTGTCTACCATCTGTAGGGTGTGGCCTTGTCTTCTTGCATCTGAGATGAAACTCCAGCAATTACATCAGAGTTCCAGACAAAAACAGGGGAGGAACCAAAAAAGGATACAGCCCCTCGCATTCAGTACACTTCCCAAAAGTGACATACAGTACTTATGCTACATATTATTAGCCTAAACTTAGACACATGGACACATATAGTTGAAAAGGAATCTAAGAATATAGCCGTTATCTGGGAAACAATATGTAGAACTATAAATTAAGTTCTTATTTCTTAGGAAGAAGGAGAGAATGGATATTGGGACACTCCTAGGAGTCTCTGCCACTTAATCAGGATTTGTCTTTTCTTTTTTTTTTTTGTCTTTTGTCTTTTTGTTCCGTGTCCGGCAACGGATCGCAACCCTCAGTGTTGCCCCCGTACCGGACCAGGGACCGGCAACGGGATTGCAAACCTCGGTGTTGCTCCCACGCCTCGCTCAGCCAGTGAGCGGGAACCGGTCTGTATGTGGGATCCGAATCGTATAACTTCG